GGCGGCACGTGCCGGCCCCGCCCCGTCACAACCCAAGTGGGGACCCGCCCCTGGAGACCCCGGAGCACCTCGGGAAGTGTAGTTCAGGATGGAGGGCTGGAGGACAATGAGAGGGGTGGGGGCTGCTGGGGGCGCTGCCCAGGTGTGAACAAAGGGCGCCGAAGGTCTGGCTGGGGAAGAGGGCGTTGCCCGGGGTCCGGCCCGAACTAGCTCTCCTAGCCCTAGGAAAGGGGCGGGGCTGGGGGTGGGGTAGTGGAGCCCCTCCCTACCTCTCAGACGGGGGCAGCCAGGACCCCACCTCTGTGGATCCAAGTACCCTGCATTGCCCCAAGGGCTGAACCTGGACCGCCGTCCACCCTCTGCCCCCTACCCCCCAGCTACGCCACTACCTAAAACGCCCTAGTGCTTGTGACAGGACAGTGCCACACCACGACCCTTTTATAGCCCCCTGTCCCCAATACCCTACTCTGGACACCAGCGTATTACCTGTATTGTGACATCATCTTAAACCCATTCAGCCCTAGCAAATCACGGGTCCTCGCTGTGTGTTCTCGCTCCCATCGCGGGGTCCCTGAACTGGGGACCAGAAACCTGTTGGGGGAGGGGGCGGTGGGGGCCGATGTCAGCGGGAAGCTGTGGAATTTGATCTCTGGGCTATACAAAGCCACTCGGCTTCCGTGCAGACTCCATCTGTTCTGCCGAGCGGCTGCCTGGAGATAGGGAAGGAAGCGCATTAGCAGTTCTCCACGACACACACTGCAGTTAAGTGTTGCTTTTGTTCTGGGAGCACGTGCTCCCCGGGCGTGCTGGGCTCCCTTAAAGAATCAAAACAAAAGGAAGCACGAGGGCACGGCTCCCCCTGGCCTGGATAGATCAGAAACTCAGCAGAGACACAGAAGAAACCGGTCTGACCTCGGCTCCCCTGGAATGACTGCCCTTCCTCTTTCCCAGCAGAAAGAAAAACGACCGCTGGCTCCCAGCCAGGGGCTGTGTCCTCGGGTGGTGGTCATTACACCCAGGCACCTGGTTTGGGATCCCGACCTGGAAGAAGGACACCTTCATTTCATTAATTAATGGCCCCCACCTCTCCAAACCCAGAAGCCAAGGTTTCTCCTGAAGCAAGGTAATTTTAAAAGAGAAAAAGACTCCTCTTGCCCAGTTCATACTAGAGATGTACCAGAGATTTAAAAAGTGCAATTAGTAGGTTCCTGGGACAGTGAAAGGAGCCCTGGTGGTGTGTTGGGTTAAGCGCTAGGCTGCCAACTACAATGTTGGTCTCAAGGGAGAGAAAGACGTGGCCGTTTGCTTCAGGAAAGACTTACAGTCTGGGAGACCCTACGGGGCAGTTCTGCTCAGCCGTAAAGGGTCGCTCTGAGTTAGAATCGATCCAGCCCCAGGAGGTTTGGTTTGGAGTCCATTAAAATGATCGCACAAACAGCACACAAACCCCACAAAGCAAACAAGTGCACTGTTGCCTGAGATTTGCGCTTGGGCGGGGAGGGTTGCCTTCCCTCAGCTAATCTAAGCCCTTTTCCCAGAGCATCCGAACAGAAGCAGGAGTCATTCAGATGCCGAGCCCTGAACGGATTCTCGCTCTCAGATCAAACTTGGCCAGGAGGCGGCCAGGTGTTTCCATCTGTCAGCCTTCTGACCCGTCTCAGAAATCACTGAACACGCTGGGAAAGGGTGGGGTGAAGCCCGGATGAAAAGTGACAGGCAGGCACCGGAATGAGCAGGGACCAAGACCAAGGGGCAGAAGCTTCTTTATCTTGAAGTCTCGAGACTTGCAGAGAAAGATCCCACCCATTTGGTGCATTTTTTTTTAAACACAAGAAATTGCCACCCCAAAATTTCACATTTCTGACTATTAATGTTGTGACAGGAGTAAAAGAAATCTTTCAAAACACGGATTATTTTAAAGCACTTACACGGCTTCCCCCGCCCCCCACCTCTTCTTTCCCCTTAGAATGGATGTCTATTTCCATGGAAACCACAACTCAGAACGTAAGATGTTAGCACTCATGGAGATTTTTAATCTTTTCAAATGGTGTCACTTGGCTTCTTGGTTTGTTGCCTGATCCTACCAGTCTTTACAACCAGGGTTTTCTGAGACCCTTGCTGCCGGTTGATAGAGTCCTTGAGTACTGAGGTGGCTTCAGTTAAGATTTCCTCAGAACAATCCTGTGACTAAAAACCTGTGTGGTGGGGTCATCCCTGTTCCTCAGGAGGCCAAGAACAAACCCAGCCCGTTTCCACCACGTGGATTCTGACTCATGGCGACCACGTGCGTGTCCGAGTGGAACTGTGTCTCATGGGGGTCCCAGTGCCTGCTCTTTGGGATCTTTCTTCTGAGCATATCTGGAAGAGTCACACCTCCACCCTTTCAGTTAGCAGCCCCGGTACTTGACCGTGGGCACCCCTCCTGGGGATGTTCCTCAGGGTCGGCTGCCTGTTTGAGAGCTGAACCAGCCCTTTCCTGTCAGCTCTTATGGTGGTTCATACTTGGGCCCTGGCATACAACGGGGGTTTTGAGCTGTAAGGAGAGAGAACCACGCGGCCACGTCACTTTGGAGAGGGCCATGAGCTCCCTTCTCTGAAGCTCCTTCAAACTGATGTCAACGCCTCGCGTTCCTGAGCGGGCAGCGAAGAGTTAATGTCGCCTCTGGGAACTGGCTCTCTCTGCCTGTGAGGACTATTTTTGCCTCTGCTCAGCCGGCTTGGGTAGCTTGCTGGGGAGTTGGCTGCGATGGTGCATGAGCACCAAGTCAAGTCAAGATCTGGCAGCCCTCCAGCTCATTTGATCTGTGTAGACAGCTACAGGGATAGACAGCTTCAAGCTTCAAAGTCCAGAGGGGTGTCTACACGGATCAAACAGGCTGGGCTCTTGTCAGATCTCCTCTGTTCCCAGAGAGCACCGGGCAGCCTTTGTTCATTGTTGGTTCTAAGACTGAGGGGTTGTCTCCCACATAGGCGCCTCTGAGTTCCCTAGCTGCTTACAGAGCATGTCCTTGGGTGTCGTGGGAGAGGTTTCGCCTTGTCCTCAAGCCTCTCTGTTCTCTTTGTCCCTAATCCTCAGGCACCTGTAATCTAGCACTCCCTTCCCGATTCAAACCCTGTCTGTAAATGCTGTTTCGGGCCTCTGTTCTCCTTCACTAGACTAGACCAGGAGCTTCTACAGGTCAGGGCAGGTGTTTGCATTGGGCCTGGCCCAGGATAGGGGGGCCCAATGTTCTTTAGACCTCCTCATCTTCTTCTGTAAGCTAGTCACCAGCACTACATGAGAGAGGTAAGGGTAAATGAGACATCATGCATACAGGTACTTAGCACGAGGCCTTGTGCACTGTGAGTGCCCAACACTTGTGAACTCTGATTGTATAGAAATTAGGAATCTGTTACTGGTTACTGAGTGAATGAATTAAGATTAGATTTTCACTCCTTGGTGGGAATCGTCATCACCGGATTAACACTGTTAAAAATTCTATTTAATATTTTTGAATAGTTTACACAATCACATGTGTGACTAGTTTACACATTCACATGGCTTAAAAATAAAGTATGAGAAGTCCCCAAAGAACACATGGCTTAAAAATAAAGTATGAGAAGTCCCCAAAAAACAAAGAACTTGGCTTGGCCTTTTATCTCTGGCTTCTGAAAATGGCCACTGGAAATTTCTAACACCGTAAAGCAACACTTCCCTGTGTCTAAAGGAGGTGGGAGCTCACGGAACCACACCTGACAGCTCACTTCAGGGCATGATAGCACCAGGCATGCATATTCATTGAATCAGCCAATTGCTGGCTGTGTTTTCAGGTCCCAGT